AATTGACAACACCAATGAACTCTCCACTAAACAAGGAACTCAATGATACTAAACTTACTAAGTTTTGGTGCAGAAATGGAAGCTGGTTTTTCCTCCTTATATAGGAAAATGGAGAAGGAAGAAGACAATCCTGTAGCTAGTTCTGCGTAGGAAATGACTCACGATCGGCTGAGTGGAGGAAGGGGCGCCGTCTGCACAGTCTCCCTGATTGGGACCAATTTTGGTTCGAGTTGGGGTACACTTTTTGGTCAAACTTTCTCCAAATTGAAATCCGTTCGCACCGTTGCGATCAGACAGTCGAATTCTATTCAACGACATACTTTTCATAATTATTTGTAATACTTTTTCTGACATCATATTTTTGGGTGGTTGACTTTGATAGAGTAAAAATTGGTTTAATTTACTTTTCTCATAAAAGGTTCTCTTATTTAATTCATATCAATGATTCTCATGATTTATTTTAACAAATCATTTAAATATTTACATTATAAACAAATTTTTCATTTACTCTTGATTTGGGTCTGTACTCAGGTTTCCAATCAAGACCACACAAAAAGTCAATATATTGGATTTATCTCTATGAGATTTATCCAGAGTGTGATAATAGATATCAAAACATATTTCGTATCGGCCCAAAGCCCAAAAACAATTTATTTTAATCAAAACAAATTTGTTTAATCGAATAATTATTTAATAATAATTCTAAGGTATGTTTCGGGGCGTTACATGAGGATCCGCGTATTTTCCCAAGGCGTATTTTTGAAATTCCAATTCCTCGTCCCCTCTCTGTGTCGATTGTTGACTGTCGAGTATCGACCGGCCGCCAGAGCTAGTTCCTGCTGCAAGAGTTCCGGCTGATTCCAATCATCCTCCTTCAGTTCGCCCGGTCTTCCTCCTTCAAATCGTCCTCTTTCAACTCCTCGTAGGTTGAGTCCGAACCCTAGCACAGCAGCAATCCCGACGGTAGTGCTCTGCCGTAGCCATTAGCGGTAAGTCTCAATTCTCAAACCTAATTTCATAAGTTTTATCATTTAATTTTTTTTTGATTTGAGTATGAAGTTTCAATTCTCAACTCTCAAATCTCAATTGTATAGTTTCAAATTGCATTATCCTCTTAGCATTTGGATGATTTCACAGTTCAAACTCAATTACTCAAGTGATTGCTTCATCCATAATAAGTTGTAGTAGTAATGTAATGGTAAAGCTAAGAGAGGAAACTAGAAAAAACATAATCAAATTCAAAGAAAAATAGAGAGGAAAGATTAAACTTGTGGTTATTGTGTCTGTAAGGGGCTAAGGGTGATGATGATAGATGAGTACTTTCAATTCTTTTCTACAGATTCTTTTATATTGGATTTTTATCATCTTTGCCATTTTGGTCCATGTTCTGGGTGCAATTGTTTTTTATTTATGTTTATGTCCCTATTATGGTTTTTGTCAGTTAAGAAAAGACCCTATTTTTTACTAAATCTGACTTTGCAGCTATAGACATTCCACAGTCAGTTTTGGAAAACTATCAGCAGCACAAAAAACCCAAAATAAACTAAACTCTGTTAGATTTTGATTCATAACTTTATGATTACGTGGTCAATTGGTCATTTCTCATTGCTTGTGTGCTAAACTACTTTGGTTTTTTTTGTAGAGTCATGGTTAGAAAGAAGGATCCACTTTGGGTACATGCTATTGATATGAATGGTAAATTTGAATGCAAGTACTGTAAACGAGTATTTTCTGGAGGTTTAACAAGATTGAAGTTTCATTTGTCTGGATTAAAAGGTAATGAAATTGAGATTTGCACACAAGTTCCAAAAGACATAGAAACTCAGGTGTGTGAAGCACTTACACAAACCTCTAAAAGGCTTAGAGTTGAATCTAGCACAACAACCTCTAGAGTTGGTGGTTCTACTATGTCTTCTCATCCTTCATTGCATCAAACTACCATGCCTAAAATGGTAAAAAAATGGACAAGAGCGATATAGATGACTTGCTTGCCATATTTTTCATTCAAAATAATATTGCATTCAATGTTGTGCAACAAAAGTCATTCATCAATCTTGTTAAAGGAATTGCAAAGTATGGACCAGCCTATAAATTGCCAAGCTATTCAACACTACGGACCAAACTTATTCCAAGAGCAAAAAAAAGAGTTGATGAATATGTTGATGAGGTAAAGAAATCATGGGACGTTTCAGGTTGTTCCATCATGTCTGATACTTGGACTGATCTTAAAGGAAGATGCTTTATTAATTTTATCGCATCATGTCCTAAAGGTTCAGTTGTTCTAAAATCAGTTGAGATTTCAGAAGATAAGAAAACTGGACTATTTTTAAGTCATTTGTCTTCTAAAGTCATTGACATGATAGGACCTCAACATGTTGTTCAACTCATCACAGATAATGGTTCAAACTTTGTTTCGGCTGGGAATATGATTGTGCAAAAGTATACTTCTATTTGCTACAACAGGTGTGCAGCACATGGAATTCAGTTGCTTTTCAAAGATATATATGACCAAATTCCTTGGATTAAAAGTGTTGTTGATAATGCTAAATCTATTCAGGCATATATGTATCGACATACTATTATTACTGCTTTGATGAGAAAAGTTACAAATGGACGCGAATTGAAAAAGCCATGTGCGACTAGATCCGCTTCTAATTTTCTTGTTGTGCAATCTTCGGTTGGTCTTGAGAATGAACTACGATTGTTTGTGGCCTCTCCAGAATGGAGAGATTTGTCTTATTCCAAGACGCAAGAGGCTATTAGTGTGACTGGAGTCATCCAAAATGATGTTTATTGGTCTGAAGCAAAAGAGTTGATACAAGCTTTAGAACCACTAGTTCGGATTCTTCGCTTAGTTGATGGTGAAGGTTCTACTTCTGGGTATTTATACCAAGCAATGGAGTTGGCCAAGGATGAGCTCAATAAAAGGGTTGTAAAAAATAGAGAGAAATATGAGAAAATGTTGGCATTATTTGGTGAGAGAAGGAAAGAGAATATCATCGATCCTATTCATGCATTTATTGCTACTCTCGACCCACTTTTCTTTAGTAATTCAAACTTTAAGCAAACTGTGGAGATGAAATCAGGCATGCTTTCTTTGCTTGAAAAAGTAATACAACCTGCTGACAGGAAGGAGTTTCTAACGCAATATCGAGATTATACTATGATGCCTTCCTCTCTATTCAATGATGTCACATATAATATGATGAAGGCATATCATCCTCATAAGTGATTTAATTGTTTATAAATTTTATAGGTATATCGAGATTATATTAGGAAGCATTCTTCTCATGGTGTGTTTAATTGCTTGTATGACTATTTTTTTAAACTTGAATAATGTTACATAGGTTAACTTCAAAACTATTACCTTGAAATTTACATTGAAAAATTGTAAACATTAATTGATGCATCACAATTGGTATGTCTCTTAATAATGTGCATTTATATTATTGTTATTTTTAATCATTTCTTTATTCTATATGTTTATTACAAGGTGTATGGTGGGAATTTAGTGGTGACTCTCAACCAGTACTACAAAAATATGCCATTCGTCTTTTGAGTCAGCCTTGTAGTTCATCTGCATGTGAGCGTAATTGGAGTGCCTTTGAAGCTGCTCAAACAAAGAAAAGGAATCGACTCACTCCAGACATGCTCGGTCTTCTTGTGTACTGTAGAATGAACACACTTATGATGCAAAATACTGAGGAAAAGATGATTAAAGATTCTGATCCAATTGATTTGAGCAAGTTGACAGAATGGCCTGATTATGGAGATGTAGAGTCATACTCTCATATTCTAAATGGGAATGAAAACAATGAAGCTCCCGGGAATTCAATTGATGATCCTAACATTGACAATGGTATGGATGATGCTGGACTTTCAGATTTTTGTGAGACTTATATCAATGATGATGATGATGATGATGTTTTTGCTGAATTTGGCATTTTGGAATAATTTTGTAGTTAGTGAAAGACTTTATATTTTATGGTATGGATGATGCTGGACTATTTTTCATTTTGAACATTTGCTCGATTAAGACTATTTTTTTAGCATGACTATTGTATGAACGGGCTTTACCTTTTGGATTTTGTTCAATTTTAAGCAAAATTATTGTTTTTTATTCACTTTATTATTTTTTTTGTGAATAATTATGTGCATATTATAAGACGTATTTTATATTTAGGAAACGTTTAATACACGTACGTATGCATATTATTTTTGTACGTTTGAAATATATAATAACACGTATTTTATAAATTTTTAACGTATTATACACGTACGTACGTATTTCCGTATTACACTTTTGCCGTATTTAACTAACTATGGTGGAGATCATGGGCTGAATACGTGATTGAGTAGGGATTTTAAAATATTTTCTTACTCCGTAACTGTTAAACTGAGTAAAACGGTACGCGCTTTTTTGCCCAAACTGTTCCGAATTGAAAAAGGATTATGTTTTTGGAGTCAGACTATCAAAACTAGAATTTTGACGTAATCAAACTATTTTTCTAAGAACTTTTATTTTTTTCTGTGTTCGGGTCTGTCTCAGTCATAAATTAATTTAATAATATAAATGATATAAAAATATATGAATTTAATCCAAATGATAAATATGATGTTGTCAAGTGTCAAAATTTAAGTATTCTAATCTTATGAAATCTCTTTTGAATTGAGTTTATTTTATGGGTCAAAGTTACAAATTTTAATATTTAAAATCGTCATAGCTTGAAATCTATAAATCAGATTGGTTCATAAAATGTCCTGTTGGATTTGTCTCTTCGAGACATATCCATAAAAATAAGTTTTTTAACAAAAAGTAATTATTTTGAATTTTTTTGTCAAACGTATAAATATTCCTTATTGGACAGAATTTACTTTTGTTTTATAATAAATTTTAGGCCATATTTTGTGGCGTTACACTGATCCTTGAGATAAAGTGATCAGAGAGAACTTTGAAGTTCTTTCTGCCGGTCGGAAACAATTGAGAAGTGGCCTGATTTATTTACCGGTCAGAATTCCTATGATGATATTCTAGGAAGCAAGAGCAAAGTATCATTTAACGAGCAAGCAGATATGCAAGATTAACCGGGTAGGAAAACAAACATGGCATTCAAAACAGGAAATGTCAAATGTTTACAAGTACGCCGGGCACGCGGGGAAATTTCTGCTCAAAGTTTACAAAAATAACCGGGCGCAGCCGGGGAGATTAGTCGAGGGGGAAAGGGGGAGTTGGCTCTTCTTTCGAGATTGGAGCCAGGCCATAGGATGCAGCGCTGAAGTTCGGATCTCTTCTGAGCAGTACCCGGTGAGAGGCGATCCGGTCCTTCTTTTGACCGCTCTTGAATCCGAAGGATCCAATCGCGGTAATCATCTTCCTTCCTTCAGGCTCCCGGGACAGAAGCCTGAAGGACTCCATCGTGGTCTCTGGAGTCGCCGTCATCACCCGGACAGCTTCAGCTTTATTCCCTTCCACCCAGGAAGCTGCGCGCCCGGGGAAGGTTTCTTCCTTCTCCGCCATCTCCCTCTTGGCTTCAGACACCTCGTCCATCAGCCGGCAATTCTCTTCCTTGAGGTGAGAGATCTCCGCCCTCATAGACCCGGCCAGCTCGGATAGCCTGGTCAGCTCATCAGCTTGGCTCTTCAGGATGAGAGCCATCTCCTCCTTCTCCTTCTTCAGCCGGGCAAACTCCGAAGGAGAGCCTAACCCCAGCCGATCAGCTGTGAGGGGTCCAATCCCCCCCGCGTGCACAAAAAAAAATAGCCCGGTAAGATTCTCGTCAAGGGAAAAAGAAGATCAAGACCAGGATAGCAGCAGGACTTACCTCCTTCAGCCTCAGGCCCAGATTGATGAAGGCCTCTTCGATGGTCTGGCCGGCCGGCTCAGAATCCGACCTTGCCCTCTTCTTGGCATAAGAAGGGTGCGTGGTGGCCACCTTCTTCGTTCGTCGACCGGTCTTCTCCTTTTCCTTCCCCTTAGACCGGTTGTCTTGGGGTTCGTCCTCGTCAAGAATCTCCACGGTCTCTTAGTTGACCGGGAAGGTTTTGGTAGGGTTGGCCTGGGAGCCCCCGGTTTCTCCCGCTAGTTGGTCACCAGGGATGGCAAACTCCTCGAACTCCATATCTGCAGAAGAAACTAAAATCATTAAGTATAAGCAACGGTACTGGTCAAAGCACAAATCACAAGAAGAATGAAAAATACCTGGGTGGTTCTGGCCCTCAGCCTCTGCAGTGTTGCCCGGGGAGGGTGCCCCGCTGCTTCATGGGCCTGGGAGGTACCCTCACCACCCGACTCCACCCTCCAAACCCAGCTGCCATAATGGAAGATCCTCCTGGTGAAAGGATCCCCGCGCATAAGGATTTCAAGATTCGCTTCCAAGTCAGGGGAGGAAGCCGGTGCAGCATACTCTTGATCGAGCAGATGGTCATTCCATTTCAGACCGGCAAAAGGAGTGACGAAGGGGGGAAACTCGATGAAAACAAATTTTTCCTTCCATCCCCGGTCACTCTGGGGGACTTCGGAAATGAACTTCCTACCGGTACGGGCTTTGAAGAATACAAAACCTTCGCAGCCAGACCCGCCTAGTAGGACTTCGAAACAAAAAAGGAAAAGACGCAAAGAGGGATCGATTTTCAGATGAGTGCAGATATTTAAAAAGGAATGAAGATACCGGTGGGCGTTAGGGGTTATTTGGCCGGGTAAAATCCTAAATGCATGGCATACTTCGGTTAGGAGGGGGCGAAGAGGAAAAATGATGCCCGCGTCTAGGGAAATCGTGTGAAACCCTATCCTATCCTCCCGGTGGGGTTCAACAATGTTGGGCCAGTCATGTTCATACAGAAGGGTATACCCATCCGGGAGCCTCCTACGGATTTTATTCAGAGCAATTTTAGATACATGGGAAGGAATGTCAAGAACGTAGAAGGTGGGGAGCGGAAAGTAACCAGCGGTATGAAGCCGCTCCTCCCACGCGTCCCGAGTTTCGTTTTCAAGGTCATAGGGACCCGGTTCGTCATCAACCGGCTCTTCCCTCCCCATAAAAACTTCACCGGGCATCTGATTAACAGGTTGCAGGTCGGGGATAGAAGAGTTGGGAACCTGACCGAGCATGGAGTCAGGAGAAGAAGACCCGGTCGAGGAAGATGAGTTGGAGTCCTCAAAGGAGCAGTCCTCCGAGGACGAAATCCTATCGCTAAAAGAAGACATAACCGGGAAAGAAAGTAGAGAAGGAATTAAGGGGAAACTTACTTGACTCGGAGGGCTGGATAGCGAAAGAAAAGGAACTTGACCGGTGAAAGCTCTAAGACTTGATCGCGGAAAGTGAACAAAGGAAAGGGGTGGAGGCCTTTATATAGGAAGAGGATGGCTGAAAGGAGTGACGTGGCCTCTTCAGGTTGCGCCGCGTCAGGCGGCGCAATGATGACCCACTGGCAGGCGAAACGACGGGTCTGCAGCCGACTGATTGCAACGGTTGGTGCGCAACACGTGGCGAAAATCAAAGTTTAAAGTTCAAATTTCAAAAATTTTAGGCGGGAAGAGCCAAAATTTCAAAATTAAAGTCCTATTTCAGATTTTTTACTTCCCGCTCATGACAAATTGCATGACCGAGAAATGGAGGGCTTATTGATGGGTGTATTCCACCCACGACCGGTCAAAGGAAAAGACCAATTAGTTGACCAGTCAATCTCGAAAGTCTTGGAAGGGAGACTTAAATCGTCAGCAAATCGATATGTAATCGGCCAAAAGATGACCGGTATACTTCACGAAAAAGTATACCGGTCAAACTACTTTGTCACCCTACTTATTCCCTGACTTCGATGAATTCATCCCTCGGAGATTACCCGGTATAGTTTCTAGGGTGGAAAAGTGTCGGCAGAAGAGAATCTGGAAGGGTTTGGCGTGTAGTGACCCATGTCAGTGGAGAATAGCTGGAGATACTTGAGGAATCCATCCAAGGCACTACTTGACAAAGGGAATAATCCCCCTCACAAGGCGACAAGGCAGCTCAAGGATGAAACGAGTCACCTCGCACCACATCAACAGCGCGCCCCCACGTGGGCGCACGTGGTCCTGTCCCCCTTAGCCTAGAATAAATACTCAAGTAAACTTCAGAAAGAGGGATCCGAATTCATTCTCCCTAAACTCCCTTGTAAAAGCACCCGTGCATTCTCCGTTATAATATAAATTGGGCTACAGGTGTTCCACCTAAAGTCCTACCGGTCAATCTGCGTGTTTTTACCTTTCTTACTTTACCAACCCAAGCAAACTATTCTAGACCCGATCTAGCATAGTTTGACCGGTCAAGTAATTTACACCATCAGGGTCGGTCAACAAGAGGGTTATTTTCAAACTTGCCTTAATTAATGGGGGGGTTTATCCTATGTTATAGAGCTCGCTGTTCTGAACCCGATTGCGTAAACGGATCATGAATCGGACCTATTGGGCCCAAGATACGATTGACGAATCAGGTAATTGGGGTTAAATTATCCTAATTGGTTAAATAATGTAAAGTGGACCCTAAATATATTTAAGGAAAAATTACCCAAAATAATCTCAACTTTACTTGGTCTTTCAAAAATAATCCCACCTTTCACTGTGATGCATAATAATCCCAATTTTACTGAAACTTGCCAGTTTTGGGTCGCCGTTAAGTTTCTAACGGAGGGATAACGGAAATGCCAGTTTTAGGCAACAAAATGAAAGTTCGGATTATTTTTGATGAATTTTCGTTTTTTAATTTTTTTTGAAATTTTTATTTAAATTTTTTGAATTACTTTCAACCTCCATTTCTTTTTCTTTTTTAAAGATTATTCTTACCTTAGAAAAAAAATAGATATAAAAAATAATGAAAATAAGAAAAATAACTAAAACCATACAAAATTACTCAAATAAATAATGTAATATTTATTTTATTTCTTACCAGTTTCTGTTTAATTTCTTACCAAGTTTGCAGCGGTGGTTCTTCCCTACACCCTAGCCTTCAATTTCGTCAATTTTGAGGTGATTTGTTGTTTCTATACCTTCCGTTAGCGTTAATTCGTAGATTAGAACTTCCTTAACGTATAATTTAGTAATTGATTGTGAATTTGATTGTTAATTGATGAATTTGGTTGGGTTTGAAGAAATTGGGGGTTGAACACCGCCGGATTCCGGTGAGACGCCGGCGGCGGACGTCGGCAGGTCGGTCAGGGCTCTGACAGTGGCTTGGGTTGGCTGTGTGGGATCCAATTGGGTCCAATTAGTTCCCATTGGATTCAATTTGGGTCTAGTTGGGTTCAATCAGGTCCGTTCGGGTGCAATTGGGTGTAATCGGGTCTGTTTGGACTCAAATTGACGCAATTGGGGCTGTTTGGGATTGTTCGGGTTGCTGTGAATCACCCAAACGGTGCAATTGGCTTTTTGGTCGGGCTACGGGCTCGGGCAGCCGGGTCGGCTACCGGCGGTGGTGCCGGGGTTGGTCTGGTGACAATGGAGACTGCTCCGGCGGGGGCAGCGTGCTTGAGGATTGATTCCTTGGGCTCGATTCCGCGCAGGTAAGTTGGGTTAATTGTAATTTTAGTTTGTTTGATTATGCATGACAGTAATCGTGGGTCTTTGGCCTGGATAGGCTGCTACGTGATTTGTTGTGAATTGTTAACTGAGAGTTAAATTAAATTTATCTTATTCATGAAAATTGTGGATTTTGAATAATATATGGGAAATAGGCCACCTAGTATAATTAGGCGGACCTGAATTGGATTGACTGATTGAATCACCAATAGGATATGGTTAGGAAATTGGCCATTGCGGGGCGTCGTCGCACACCTGGTGGTCTTGGGTTAAAAACCTACATACGGAAGTCCGCGACCTGTCCTGGCATCGTAGGGACAGGGGCTTCAACCCGCCCAAAGTGAATCTCCTTTGGGTTTCTGAGCTGGCCCTTTTATAGCATCGCTTGGGGTGCCATGACTCAAAGTAGTTGATGTGGAATAAAATAAGGAAATGAAGTTCAAATGGAAGGTGTTAATATAAATATGTTTATTTAAGCTATTTTCCTCCGTGATCACATGTTCTTGTTAATTGTATGTTATTGTGGTGCTATTCTGTGAGTTAATGCTGGCTTAGGTATATTTTCACTCAGCGTTTCGCTGAGCGTGTAGTTGTTGTTGTTTGACTACACGCAGGTAGGAACCCAGGACTAGATGAGCAACCCAGAGGCAGTGATGCGGCGTGATGTGGATGACTTAAGTGTTTACTGAACCCTTGAATTTCAATATTTAATTATTTGGACTTTTAGAATGTTATGTTGCTGTTAAGCTTCCACAAGGTTTGGATTTATTTTCGTACTCCGATGAACTTTTGGGTTAAACTTAAATTATTGTGAGTGGTGTTTTTTTAATTATTAAACAATGGTTTTAAATAAATTGTGCATGCGAATACCAACGTAGTGACAACCCGATTCGCAAACCCGTTTGTTCGGGTTACGCGAGTTAAGGGTGTTACAATGTCTCTATATATAGGGATTACAAGAGAGAGTCCTATTCCTAGTAGAAAAGGAATAAAGTAATTATGGTAATACAAGAATAAGGAAACTAAATAAAATAATATTAGGAGTCTTCCTATTATCCCCCCGCAAGCTGATCAACGGATACGAGGGACAGCTTGGAACACAAATAATGGAACGGAGTCGGAGGAAGCGGTTTTGTTAGGATGTCAGCAAGCTCCTCAGAACAAGGAACATGATGTGTAGTCATAGTGCCAGCCATAACCTCGTCTCGAACAAAGTGACACTCAACCTCGTCTCGAACAAAGTGACACTCAGAGCCAAAATGCTTCATGCGATCATGGAGAACGGGATTCTTGGTGACACAGATTGTGGACTCATTATCACAATAATTCTTAGGTTTCGTAGGCGGAACATGCAGAGCATCCATAATATAACGAAGCCACATCGCCTCTGCCACCCCCGCGGCCATAGCGCGATACTCAGCTTCGGTGGAGGAGCGCGAGACGCGAGTCTGTTTTTTGTGCACCATGAGATAACATTCGGCCCCAGCATAAGACGATACCCAGTGGTGGAATGACGATCATCTTTGTCATTAGCCCAGTCAGAGTCCGAATAAACAGCAAGATCAAGAGAGCCTTTTTCTGAACAGAAGGCCATGAGAAGAAGTACCCATCAAGTAGCGAAGAATACGTTTGAAAGCCAAGTAATCCTTCTCTGTAGGATTATGCATGGTCTGAGAAACTCGATTCACAGCATACTGAATATCAGGGCGAGTTACCGCAAGATAGTGTAGACCACCCACAAGGCTACGGAACAATGTTGGGTCGGAGAAGGTGGACGAGATCTCCTGGGTTGGCCGCGCCGCCATCGGAGTGACAGTGGGTTTGCAATCAGTCATGCCAGCCCGTTGAAGAAGATCAAAGATGTATTTTGTCTGATGAAGCAAGATAGTATCCGCAGAGCGACGAACCTCAATGCCAAGAAAGAAATCCAGCGGACCCAAGTCTTTGAGGCGAAAATTTTTATGCATAGCCTGAGTGACAGCAGAGATGAGATCAGAAGAGCTCTTGTAATAATGATGTCATCAACATATAGGAGAACAATGACCATGTCGCGGGAGCTGTGAAAAGTGAACAGACTGGTGTCATGACGACAGCACTGGAAGCCAAGTCCCTGCAAAAAAGTAGCAAAACAGGTGTACCAAGCACGAGGAGCCTGTTTAAGGCCATACAGAGATTTGCGTAGCTTGCAAACAAACTCAGGCCTATTTAGATTGACGTAGCCCGGTGGTTGAGACATATAAATATCCTCATCGAGTGTACCATGGAGAAAGGCATTGGTAACATCAAGCTGGTGAAGAGGCCAATCATAGTGTAGAGCAAGAGTGAGTACCAGATGGATGGTTTATTGCTTGACAACCGGGCTGAACGTCTCTTTATAATCAATGTCATACTCTTGATGGTGCCCTTTGGCCACTAGACGAGCCTTGTACCGAGAGACGGAGCCATCCGGATTCCGTTTTATGCGATACACCCACTCGCAACCAATAGGATCTCGGCCCTTGGATAGGGGCACCAAATCCCATGTGCGCTGTTCATTCAGAGCTGCGAATTTCTCATCCATGGCATGGCACCAATAGCTATTCTTGGAGGCTTGGTGATAGGTGTGAGGTTCAGAGGTAGGAGGAGAGGTATCAATGGTGGTAGCAGTATAGGTTTTAGGCTTGAAAATGCCTGATTTGGCACGGGTTTGCATGGGATGGGCATTTGTTGTGGTGAGCAATTCTGTCGACGGTCGACCGTGTGGGGGTGAGCGGGTGATGGTATCGACCGTTTGTAGAGATTCAGAGAGGGGTTGGGAGGGCGGTCGACCGTGGGGTGGGGAACGATCCATGTGGTGAACCGTCTTTAGAGGTTCAGAACGGGTGTGAGGGGACGGTCGACCATGGGTGGATGTCTGAGGGGGAACGGTCGATCGTTTGCGGAGCAGTAGCAGACGGAACGATTTGAGAGCTGGGCGGTGCCGAACCTTGTGAGCCTGGTCTGGGAGGAAAGATGGGGATGATGCCTAAGGGGTTGGAGGAGGGTGGGGTAGATAAAAGTTTAGAGTAGGGAAACTAATCTTCTACAAAACGAATATGACGGGAGACATACGTTTTCTGAGAAATAGGATCATAACACTTGTAACCTTTTATGGTGGGATGATAACCCAGGAAAACACGGGGAGTGGAACGGGGTTGAAGCTTGTGATGTGTGTGAGTGCGAAGCCAGGGATACACAAGACAACCAAAAGGACGAAGGTGAACATAATCCAGAGGCCAACCATAGAGGGCTTCAAAGGGGCATTGGTTATTTAGGGTGGCTGTGTGTAGGCGATTTATAAGGTAGTTGGCTGTAGCAAGGGCTTCAACCCAAAAGGAGACAGGAAGGTGGGAATCATAGAGTAAAGCAATGACAGTCTCAATGAGATGCCGATGCTTGCTGATGGGGAATAACCCCACGCTAGCACTAGGGCTGACATCGGGCTTGGACGGTCCTGCCCGGCCCAGAGCTCCACTCGTCCTGCTGCCCGGCTCTACGCTCCGCTCGTCCCTCCTGCTCGGCTCAGAGCTCCACTCGTCCTGCTGCCTGGCTCTGCGCTCCACTCGTCCTGCTGCCCGGCTCTGCGCTCCGCTCGTCCCTCCTGCTCGGCTCGGCCAGCCAAGCCGAGCCCGAACCCCGCGACAACGACGTGCGGAAAGCGACGTTCAACAAAGACTTGGTGAAAGCAATAGGATGAAAGGGACAAGACCTAAGGACAGGTGACGTCCGCTAAACGACGAGCCTCGATTAGAGGGCTTTGACTTAGTGAATTGTACCGCTTATAAAAGGGGTGGCACCCCTCATTGTAATGGATCCCCAGTTTGAAATCAATATACTTCTACTTTGCATTCTCTCTCTCTCTAAAACTTCTATTATTTCATACTCTCGGTGGTTTATAGCCATCAAATTGGTGCTTTCATTGAGAGCAGAGGAGCATACTCGTAGGTTAACTCCCGAACGCGAGAATGGTGCAAACAAGGAGCAACGTCCCCACCACCAGCCACGTCGTTTAGGAGGAGAACGCGCCGGGCAGCGGCAATGGTACGGGCGGCATCGGTTCGACTCCGGACACAGTCCAGGCGCTGTTCGGCTTGGGGGTGACCGCGGAGCAGCTCCAGGCAGCCGTTGCGGCACTTTCCGCCATGGGTGGGAACGTGCACGGCGCCGGAGTTGGCAAAGCTCCGCCCAATCTCCATGCCGAACATGCTGCCACTTCCCAACACAAGGGGAAGAAGACCCGGAGGAGTAGAAGGAGGCCTGGCAAGGCCCCGGCAATCGAGGAGGTGATTGTGGAGGACGTCCCGGATGAGGAGGACGATGAGTCCAGCGAGTGCCGAGTGTCAGCCTTCAAGCGCTTAGGAGGGGAAGAGACCCGGGTGTCGGCCTTCGACAGGCTCGACCGCGGACCGGAAGTTTGCCCGGGCGACCTCCGCCGACAAATAGCCGAAGGCAGGCGGAGGCATGCTGAGGAGTCCGCAACATCGGATGCTCGCTCGGCGAGGTCCGAGCGGAGCGGAGAGAGGCGGGAGGAGCGCACCCAGCGTCGCCATAGCCCGACGAGAACTGAGAAGACAAAGGTCTCTGACCAAGGAGTGTCTCGGCTCGCACGTGAGGTTGCCGAGCTTAAGCGCCGAGTGGAGACCAGGGCTCCCTACAGCCAGCCCATCTTGCGGACGGTAACCCCGTTCACTCCGAGGGTTATGTCGGTCCCGCTGCCGGCAAACTTCCGGCCGTGGCAGATCAAGGCCTACAACGGAACGACGGACCCCCAAGATCATTTGTCTAAGTTCTATGCTTCTATGGAAGCGGCGGCTGCCCCGGACGAGGTCAAGTGTCGATGCTTTCTCGCGACGCTGGAGGGCTCCGCGTGCGATTGGTTCAACCGGCTCCCGAAGGGAACTATTGACGATTGGGATACACTGGCGGAGAGGTTCTTGACGCATTTCGCGGCAAACCGAAGGCAGAGGCTCCCTTACTCCCACCTGCTCAACATATGCATCCGCAAGGGAGAGAAGGTCCGCGACTTCATAGTCCGGTGGGAACAGGAAGCCAGAGACGTGCATGGGGCGGATGACCAAGCGTTGGTGGCCATGTTCCAAGCAGCCCTTCCCCGCGGAGAAGTGAGGAAGGAGCTCCGCAAGAATCCTCCCCCCACGTACCAAGAGACCTTGGCGCGCGCTAAGTTCCTAGCCTCGGAGGAGTTCGATGATGTTCCCGACTCTGAGCCCGCGCCCGCCAAGCGAGCTCCTGCAGACTCCAGAGAGGCCGCGAAGAAGAGAAAGAAGAAGAAAGATTACACCGCGGGCCCGAGGACGCCTTCGGCTGGTGTGTACTCCGTGGGTGCGCCCGTGGGGACGGGTCGAGAGCTTGCCCTCTTCTCGCTCCCGCATGTAGAAACCTATGCGGTGTCCAGCGGTGCCAGGTATTGCGAGTATCATCGCAACAACACTCATAACACTAAGGAATGCTTCACTCTCTAGAAGGAGATGCAGAGACTCATCGCCCGAGGGCCGCCTCCCCGAGATGATGGAGCAGCCCCATCTCGGGGGCCGCCGGAAGGAAGAACTTGGAGAAATCCGGCCGAACCGGTCGCGGTGGCCACGCAGGCAAGGAACCCCGAGAAGAGGCACATTGGGCGAGAGTGTGATGATCTAGACGAGGACGAAGCCCAAGGATATCTGATGGGATTCTTCCATGGAGGAAACATTGGCGGGGACTCCGTCGCTCAAAGGAAGAGGTGGAAGCACATGGCCTTCGTCGCCAAAGTCCATCAGGCGCCGGCGCCCAAGAACGGAAGACGTGAGCAAATCCAATTCACGGAGAAGGATCTTCCGAACACGCCGAGCCCCCACCGGGATGCCTTGGTCGTGAAGCTGGAGATTAACAATGCCATAGTGCACCGCACCTTGGTGGACACGGGAAGCTCGGTCAACATAATGTATGAGAAGACCTTCCAAGACCTCGTCTTGGACCGCAAGGACTTAAGGCCTGTGTGCACTCCACTCTCCGGGTTCACGGGGGACTCCATCGAGGCCGAAGGAGTCATCGCCGTGCCCGTGATAGTAGGGGATGGTGCGCACAAGGCCAAGCTGAAGATGGAGTTCATGGTTGTAAGCATCAACTGCGCGCACAACATGATCCTAGGACGGCCCGGCCTTGAGGACTTGGAATGTGTGATCTCCCCATACTACTTGTGCATGAAGTTTCCCACTCCTTCGGGAATCGGGGTGGCGAGGGGAGACCAAAAGTTAGCTCGATCGTGCTACGTCCGTATCACGAAGAAATTGCCAAGGGATGAGACGTTGGTCGTGCACGCACA